AATAGACGTATCCAGGTGTTAGAATGGCCAAGTCAAAGTCCAGACCTGAATCCAATCCAGAATCTGTGGAAAGAGCTGAAGACTGCTGTTCACAAACGCTCTCCATCCAACCTCACTGAGCTCCAGCTGTTTTGCAAGGAAGAATGGACAAGAATTCCAGTCTCTCGATGTGCAAAACTGAGAGACATACCCCAAGCGACTTGCAGCTGTAATTGCAGCAAAAGGTGGCGCTACAAAGTATTAGCGCAAAGGGGCCAAATAATATTGCACGCCCCACTTTTGTGACATGTGATGTCACACATGACATGTGATGTCACACATGACATGTGATGTCACACATGACATGTGATGTCACACATGATGTCACACATGATGTCACACATGACGTCACACATGATGTCACACATGATGTCACACATGATGTCACACATGACGTCACACATGATGTCACACATGATGTCACACATGACGTCACACATGATGTCACACATGACGTCACACATGATGTCACACATGACGTCACACATGACGTCACACATGACGTCACACATGACGTCACACATGACGTCACACATGACGTCACACATGACGTCACACATGATGTCACACATGATGTCACACATGATGTCACACATGACGTCACACATGATGTCACACATGACGTCACACATGACTTAATGTTGTGGAGGTTAAACGAATAGTTTTGAGAATGAGAAATGATTTCACAGTCTATTGTTTATTCTATTTCTGTCTTTTTTTATCCTTGTTTTATGGTCCTCTGTGGTTTTACTGCAAATGGCAAATCAAATCAAATGAATCTGAATCTGGACTAATAAATTGTGATGTTTCCAATTCAAAGTCTGTTGCATAAACTTTAGCCCAAACTTTGGCCAATCTTCTCAGTGCTCTGTCCCCGAAGAACTGTGTCAACAAGTAAACAGTCATGTTGGCCCATATGGGCTTCTCGGGCCGCTCCTGTCCGAGGCCCGGGAACAGTAGATGAACCGGTGCCAGGACACGACCAATTCATGTGGTTTGGCACCGAACCCAAGCACCCCTCTGACCCTCACCCACCACCGAGGACAGCAGGAGGTGGGTTCAGGACCCTACGCTCTGTAGAGAACTGCAGACAGTTGTATAGATACAGAGATAGATGTACAGGTGTCCAGTAGCAGCAAAAATTAAAAAACAAAATTGTTCATTTTAAAAAGCGAACAATAGTAATAATCAGCAACAGCCTCAGGTCACAGCAGCAGAGATGGAGCCGCCACTTGGTCTGGACCATGAATCCTCTCTGGTCTGGACCAGTGTGAAACCATGAATCCTCTCTGCTCCAGTCTGGACCAGTGTAAAACCATGAATCCTCTCTGCTCTGGTCTGGACCAGTGTAAAACCATGAATCCTCTCTGCTCTGGTCTGGACCAGTGTAAAACCATGAATCCTCTCTGCTCTGATGTGGACCAGTGTGAAACCATGAATCCTCTCTGCTCTGATGTGGACCAGTGTGAAACCATGAATCCTCTCTGCTCCAGTCTGGACCAGTGTGAAACCATGAATCCTCTCTGCTCTGGTCTGGACCAGTGTGAAACCATGAATCCTCTCTGCTCTGGTCTGGACCAGTGTGAAACCATGAATCCTCTCTGCTCTGGTCTGGACCAGTGTGAAACCATGAATCCTCTCTGCTCTGGTCTGGACCAGTGTGAAACCATGAATCCTCTCTGCTCTGGTCTGGACCAGTGTAAAACCATGAATCCTCTCTGCTCTGGTCTGGACCAGTGTAAAACCATGAATCCTCTCTGCTCTGGTCTGGACCAGTGTAAAACCATGAATCCTCTCTGCTCTGGTCTGGACCAGTGTAAAACCATGAATCCTCTCTGCTCTGGCCTGGACCAGTGTAAAACCATGAATCCTCTCTGCTCTGGTCTGGACCAGTGTAAAACCATGAATCCTCTCTGCTCTGGTCTGGACCAGTGTAAAACCATGAATCCTCTCTGCTCTGGTCTGGACCAGTGTAAAACCATGAATCCTCTCTGCTCTGGCCTGGACCAGTGTAAAACCATGAATCCTCTCTGCTCTGGTCTGGACCAGTGTAAAACCATGAATCCTCTCTGCTCTGGCCTGGACCAGTGTAAAACCATGAATCCTCTCTGCTCTGGTCTGGACCAGTGTAAAACCATGAATCCTCTCTGGCCTGGACCAGTGTAAAACCATGAATCCTCTCTGCAGTTTCAGAGACACGTGGGACTCGCAGCTGTTTCCAGAACAGAGTAAATGTGACTGTAGATTCAGATACAGTTTATTTATTTAGCAAAGAACAATAGTTCGATGGATTTTAAGTGGTTCTCAGATTTAAGTTGATCCTTGTTGCAGCTAATTTATCATAACCGGGCGGCAGTAGCTCAGTTAGTAGAGCGTTGGCCTTTGAGCCAGAAGGTCGTGGGTTCAAGCCCCGCTGAAGACTTTCACCATCGACTCCCACTGACTACTGTTGTTGTGTCCTTGGCAAGACACTTAACCTCTGGGAACACCAGCCACAGTGGGGCGGCTGCGGCTGTAAAGTGCCAAACTGTGGTTGTGTCCTTAGGCAAGACACTTCACCCCCATTGCCTAGAATGAGTCTGGTGTGTGTGTGAATGGTTGGTGGTGGGAGGGGCCGATGGCACATACTGGTTGCCTCGCTTCTGTCAGTGTGCCCCAGGGCAGCTGTGGCTACAGCAGTAGCTTATCACCACCGTGTTTGGAGTGAATGAATAATGACACATGTGAAGCGTCTTTGAGTGTCCAGAAAAGCGCTATATAAAACCGATGCATTATTATTATTATTATTATAAAGGTTCAAGATTCAAGAATATATTTGCCGTTTGCAGTAAAACCACATTGGAAAAACTGTGCAAGACTCCCCCAGAGTGCAGCAGACTATCGTCCGGTCTCTGTCCCGTCCCCGTCCCGTCTGCAGATGACACCGTTCCTTTGCTCTCTGTAATAAGCTATTAGCATTAGCATTAGCATTAGCGCCGCATTATTCCACATGGACGTGCTCATTGTGTGTGACGCTTCGGGACAACACAGTTTGTCTATTGTTGCTGCTCCTCTCATCCTGGGACGTCCTGCTCACTGAAGAACAAGACGGGGGTGTGCACAGCAAGAAAACACAAGAAGTGATCAAGGAGAGGAGAAGTGGCTCTGACTCGAGCCCTGCACCAAAAACACAAACTGTAACACCTCCGCTCCGGACGTCCTGCTTTGGGAACAATATGACTTTGTGCCGTTTCTGACTCTGCACCAGGGTCTGGGTCTGGGTTCTGGTCTAGAGTCAAGTTTAGGGTCAGGTTTAGGGTTTGGGTTGGGGTACTCCTCCTGTTGCTTAGTTACTCATTCACACTGGATCCACATTTGACATAACTTCAGTGTATTAGGGTTAGGGTTAGCTTAGGTTGGGTTAACTTCAGTGCATAATGTCCCACTTTACTTTACTGCAGTATGATGTCGTTTACATTACAGGAGCAGATGTGACAGGACAGAGAAGTGCAGGACCAGAGTTTTAGAACCAGGACTGTTTAAAGCATTAACTTTAGGCTTTTGTTCATATGATGTTATGAATATGAACCAAAGTAATGTCCAGGTTTGTGACTTCTTGGCACTCGCATGGCAATAGAAAGATTCTGATCTGATTCTGTTGTTTAGACTGTCAGAAAACATCTTCAATGATATTTATACTGTACTGTATGTTGTTGCACATACTGATCTAAACCCACAGAGGGTGTGTAGACTTTAGAGCACTCCACTGTCACTCTTTAGTCTTGGAGGTCGTTTAAAACGTAGATATTACTGTTAAAGTGTGTATTTTCTCTTTGGTTGATCAGAGTTTGTTTTCTCAGCCGTGGTTCATTCTCCTCCATTTCTTTGTAATAATGCATTCCTTCCTCACGCTCTTAATACAGAGCTCAGCAAGTCCCGACAGCTCAGTCCCAAATGACGGGTTAGACCAGGACTTGCCCTGTCTGTCTGTGACTACAGTCACACACAATACACTTAGTACACACAACTACACAACTACACACCTACACAGCCCAGCACCTCTGCACCTCCTCGTGACTCATTTGTCACTTTTAATGAAGTCTAACCAAAGTCATAAATCAGTCAAATAAATCTGAATGAGGAGGAAGTCGTGTTAATGACTGAGAATTAAAGTTCCACATGAGTGCGTTTATGATGTCATTGTTTTTGAGGTGAAGCAAAGAGCGATAAGAGCAGGTTAGGACAGGGGCTGGACAGGTGCATGATGGGACGGGGGTCTTTCAGCCTCAATCGCACTGAGCAGGCTGAAGAGGAAAAACATTTGGTGTGAAAACCTGTTCAACTGCATCATTGTTTACTTTACTGCACAATGAGCGACTTCTAAAACTCTGCTTCTGTTTCCATAAAGAACAAACACAACATTTATCTCCAAAGTGACGACGATGATAGAAAACTACAGAGTCAGACGTGAGACCACCTGAGCCGATCCAGAACGGTCTATCCTCATTTTCCTCAGGAGTTGTCCATAGAAATGATTGTTCGACTTAAAGGGGGCGTGGCAAAAGAAAACTATAATTGTAATATAATATGGCAATAATGCAAAACAAGTGAAACACTGTAAAACAATGACTCATGAATAAAACTGGTGAAACTAAACAAATCCCAAACCTTCAGATTGATCGACTGAACCAGAGACTGACCGAATCTCTCTGTCAATAAACCATAAATGTGACTGTCTTTAAACAAGATTCTCCAACGGGACAAACCCTGTCGACCCAAGAACTGTTGCTTTGTTTTCCTCGTTCCGTGGTGGACTTTTCTGTGTCGTTGGTAAATCTGGTTTCATCTCAGTCAGAAAGTGCCCAAACTTAGATTTTTCATGTATCGTTCATCCTTTTGCAGTGTATTTCCTTTGCTTGTGAGTTAACAGCAGGATTATTCTAACAAAAGTGTTCCTCATTCACACTCGCTGCTGCAGAGTCTTAATCCTGCCCCCCCCAGAGCCGTGGTCCTGGAGGAGGGTTCATGTGGAGGTTAGGGGCAGCCTCCGTGGGCGAGCTGTGCTTCAGTGGCTGTGAGTGAGAGGGTCAGGCCCCATCAGGCCCCATCAGGCCCCAGCTGTGGGTCGATGGGGAGAGCAGCGGCTCTCAGGCAGGAGCTGTGTGCACCGGCTCAGATCTGGGTCTGGGGGGGGGGGGGGGGGGGGCTGCAGACGTCAGGGTCACGGGCCTGAACTAACACGGCACGCTAGAACAAAGGCTAATGGCTGGAAAAATGTTTGCTCGGTCCTTATGAGGAGGGTGGGAACGGTCTAAAAATAAAATGACTGTGGTCGAGTCGTTGGTGTGAGATCGTTATGATCGTGACGTTTACATCGTGACGTTTACATCGTGACGTTTACATCGTGACGTTTACATCGTGACGTTTACATCGTGACGTTTACATCGTGACGTTTACATCGTGACGTTTACATCGTGACGTTTACATCGTGAAGATTCTCTCTGCATGCCTTATCTCGCTTTGCTTTTAGTACTAGTTTTCAAGTTTGTTAGTTCTTGTTATTTAAAGAATTCTCAGTTTGAAAGATTTACAATGATATAACCTTATATGTCTTATTATTATCCAAAACACAAGAAATGAAACTATAAACCAGAGTCCACCTGGTCCTCGCACCATAAACTGCTGCTTCTGTCTCATTTCTAACCTCTGTCACATCTTTGGATCAGTTTTTCTCAGACAAAGAAGTGAAAGGTTGGTCCAGGTGGAAAATGTGTTTTTCTGTTTTTTATTGAATGCGTGTCTGCGCTGCGAGGGCACATTCTGCAGGCGGGTTATGAACATACGTTTAAATATCATTTCAATAAATAGCCTTAACGTCTGGTAAGTTAATTAGCACCATCTCAAACCCATGTCACACCACGGGCCGTAGCCTAATAAATCTATAGTTATTTGTATTAGAGATGAATACTGATTAAGTGCCTTGCTCAAGTGCTGAAGTCAGTGCAGTGCAGTTGTAGCAGTGAGTATTGTGCACACTTTACCCAGAAGCCACTGCAGCCTGTGGCTTTTTGTTTTGAGGTAAACACACCTCTCACCCTGGGGCTGTCCCAGGACAAACAGCGACTCCCTGGACGCAGCTCGTGGGCCATGATACCCCTCATCACCGGACCCTCTGCCCCCCCCCCACACACCGGGGGGGAGCACTGCCAACGGAGAACACCCACCGCTCACATCACCTACAGTTTAAGAACGAGCTGGAAACAGGCGGTGAGAGAACTGGAAGTAAAACAGTTAAAAATATAATCACAGACTTGAACCCAGGCCTTGGGTCTGGAATGTGGTCCTTGTGGAAACCCCCCCCCCCCCCCCCCCCCCCCTGTCTGGGTCTTCTGCAGGGTGCCCTCTCTGTGCCCCCCCTCGGCCAGGCTCAGTCTGGGTCTTCTGCTGGGTGCCCCCCCCCCGCCCCCCCCACCGCCGAAGGTGCAAACCAGGGCCATCCGCGCCGCTCCACTGGCTCTGTCCCGGGACCGTAGCGGGGGCAGGGGGCGAGCTCTTCTCACCCCATTGGCCTTCTTCAGAGCGGGTCATCTGGACACAAATCTGGATGTGAGCCCAGTGGAGCCTGGCCGAGGGGGGGGGGGGGGGCACAGAGAGGGCACCCAGCAGAAGACCCAGACTGAGCACAGATCATCTGTGAACTTTTTCATTCAAAATAAAAAATTCTCAACTGTCTTTACATAATTGAAATACAGATTTTTCATCTCAGTCTGAACTTCCCTCACATCCACCACAGAGATCAGACAGGCCCTCCTCAGAAGGACCTCAGCCTCAGAAGGACCTCAGCCTCAGAAGGACCTCAGCCTCAGAAGGACCTCAGCCTCAGAAGGACCTCAGCCTTTGCAGCGTTTCTAGAAACTGAAACCAGAGCTTCCATTAGCGCTCAAAGCATATGTATGTAGCTAGTTAGCATACCCACCGCTGCTGTTGTTTACCCTTTGTTCTACTGAGTTAATTCTGGTTTTAACCTTCAGAGCTTTGCACGGTCAGGCCCCGTCTTACATCAGTGACCTGATCCAGCCTTACACCCCAGCCTGGGCTCTGAGGTCTGTGGATCAGAACCTCCTGATGGTTCCACGCACTCGCTTCAGGACCAGAGGAGACAGGTCCTTCCAGGCTGTTGCTCCCAAGCTTTGGAACGTTCTCCCGCTCTCTCTGCGTTCTATAGAGTCTGTTGAGTGCTTCAAAAGTCAACTTAAAACCCATTTATTTGTTCAGGCTTTTGCGTAAGTTTGTCTTGCTGTTTTTACATGGTTGTCTTGGCCTTTAAAAATGTGTATATCTAATTTATATGTCTGTTTTTATACTATGTAAACCGCTTTGTGACCCTGGTCTGTGAAGGACGCTATATAAATAAAGTTTACTTACTTACTTACTTACTTACTGAGTCCAAATGTCCAAATGTTCAAATGTCTGAGGGGGAAGTGAGGTCCGAGTAGCAGAAAATTAGATTTTTTTCACAGAAGCAGCCCTCGCTGCAGAGTCTCTGATCCTCTCTGGAGGCTGTTTCTCAACATTTATGTTTTCACCTGGAACAGTCTTCATGTAAACGAGATTTCCGAGGGGCCCAGATGTGGTTAGCCCATTACCATCAATGCTGCAAGTTAACCACAATATTTGAAAACCATTTTTGGGGCCACTAAAAGTTTGACAAAAGAGCCTTGTCATAGTGCAGTATGTATGACTTCATATATCACTGATTGTAAATGAAAGCTGTAGCATCTTCTTTCAGGCCCTCAGCTTCTGTGAGGTCTGCAAGTGCTCAAAGAGCTTTGCAAACTAAGCGCTGGTAATAGGAGGCAGTAAAGTGGGCGGCTCTGAGCGCTGCACAGCGGCAATTACAGCCGCCTGCCTCTTAAACACTTGTTTGTAATGATTCATGGGTTGCACATAATGTCATTTTCTTGTCAGCTCCGTCTCTCTCTGCTCTGAGCCTGGATCCTGGTCCTGTCTCTCTCTGCTCTGAGCCTGGATCCTGGTCCTGTCTCTCTTCTCTGAGCCTGGATCCTGGTCCTGTCTCTCTCTGCTCTGAGCCTGGATCCTGGTCCTGTCTCTCTGCTCTGAGCCTGGATCCTGGTCCTGTCTCTCTGCTCTGAGCCTGGATCCTGGTCCTGTCTCTCTGCTCTGAGCCTGGATCCTGGTCCTGTCTCTCTCTGCTCTGAGCCTGGATCCTGGTCCGGTCTCTCTCTGCTCTGAGCCTGGATCCTGGTCCTGTCTCTCTGCTCTGAGCCTGGATTCTGGTCCTATCTCTCTCTGCTCTGAGCCTGGATCCTGGTCCTGTCTCTCTGCTCTGAGCCTGGATCCTGGTCCGGTCTCTCTCTGCTCTGAGCCTGGATCCTGGTCCGGTCTCTCTCTGCTCTGAGCCTGGATCCTGGTCCTGTCTCTCTGTTCTGAGCCTGGATCCTGGTCCTGTCTCTCTCTGCTCTGAGCCTGGATCCTGGTCCTGTCTCTCTCTGCTCTGAGCCTGGATCCTGGTCCGGTCTGTCTTTGCTCTGAGCCTGGATCCTGGTCCTGTCTCTCTGCTCTGAGCCTGGATCCTGGCCCTGTCTCTCTGCTCTGAGCCTGGATCCTGGTCCTGTCTCTCTCTGCTCTGAGCCTGGATCCTGGTCCTGTCTCTCTCTGCTCTGAGCCTGGATCCTGGTCCTGTCTCTCTGCTCTGAGCCTGGATCCTGGTCCTGTCTCTCTGCTCTGAGCCTGGATCCTGGTCCTGTCTCTCTGCTCTGAGCCTGGATCCTGGTCCGGTCTCTCTGCTCTGAGCCTGGATCCTGGTCCTGTCTCTCTGCTCTGAGCCTGGATCCTGGTCCTGTCTCTCTGCTCTGAGCCTGGATCCTGGTCCGGTCTGTCTTTGCTCTGAGCCTGGATCCTGGTCCTGTCTCTCTCTGCTCTGAGCCTGGATCCTGGTCCTGTCTCTCTCTGCTCTGAGCCTGGATCCTGGTCCTGTCTCTCTGCTCTGAGCCTGGATCCTGGTCCTGTCTCTCTGCTCTGAGCCTGGATCCTGGTCCTGTCTCTCTCTGCTCTGAGCCTGGATCCTGGTCCGGTCTCTCTGCTCTGAGCCTGGATCCTGGTCCTGTCTCTCTCTGCTCTGAGCCTGGATCCTGGTCCGGTCTGTCTTTGCTCTGAGCCTGGATCCTGGTCCTGTCTCTCTGCTCTGAGCCTGGATCCTGGTCCGGTCTGTCTTTGCCTCTGAGCCTGGATCCTGGTCCTGTCTCTCTGCTCTGAGCCTGGATCCTGGTCCTGTCTCTCTCTGCTCTGAGCCTGGATCCTGGTCCTGTTTCTCTGCTCTGAGCCTGGATCCTGATCCGGTCTGTCTTTGCTCTGAGCCTGGATCCTGGTCCTGTCTCTCTCTGCTCTGAGCCTGGATCCTGGTCCTGTCTCTCTCTGCTCTGAGCCTGGATCCTGGTCCTGTCTCTCTGCTCTGAGCCTGGATCCTGGTCCTGTCTCTCTGCTCTGAGCCTGGATCCTGGTCCTGTCTCTCTCTGCTCTGAGCCTGGATCCTGGTCCGGTCTCTCTGCTCTGAGCCTGGATCCTGGTCCTGTCTCTCTGCTCTGAGCCTGGATCCTGGTCCGGTCTGTCTTTGCTCTGAGCCTGGATCCTGGTCCTGTCTCTCTGCTCTGAGCCTGGATCCTGGTCCTGTCTCTCTCTGCTCTGAGCCTGGATCCTGGTCCTGTCTCTCTGCTCTGAGCCTGGATCCTGGTCCTGTCTCTCTGCTCTGAGCCTGGATCCTGGTCCTGTCTCTCTGCTCTGAGCCTGGATCCTGGTCCGGTCTGTCTTTGCTCTGAGCCTGGATCCTGGTCCTGTCTCTCTCTGCTCTGAGCCTGGATCCTGGTCCTGTCTCTCTCTGCTCTGAGCCTGGATCCTGGTCCTGTCTCACTGCTCTGAGCCTGGATCCTGGTCCTGTCTCTCTGCTCTGAGCCTGGATCCTGGTCCTGTCTCTCTCTGCTCTGAGCCTGGATCCTGGTCCGGTCTCTCTGCTCTGAGCCTGGATCCTGGTCCTGTCTCTCTCTGCTCTGAGCCTGGATCCTGGTCCGGTCTGTCTTTGCTCTGAGCCTGGATCCTGGTCCTGTCTCTCTGCTCTGAGCCTGGATCCTGGTCCGGTCTGTCTTTGCTCTGAGCCTGGATCCTGGTCCTGTCTCTCTGCTCTGAGCCTGGATCCTGGTCCTGTCTCTCTCTGCTCTGAGCCTGGATCCTGGTCCTGTCTCTCTGCTCTGAGCCTGGATCCTGGTCCGGTCTGTCTTTGCTCTGAGCCTGGATCCTGGTCCTGTCTCTCTCTGCTCTGAGCCTGGATCCTGGTCCTGTCTCTCTCTGCTCTGAGCCTGGATCCTGGTCCTGTCTCTCTCTGCTCTGAGCCTGGATCCTGGTCCGGTCTGTCTTTGCTCTGAGCCTGGATCCTGGTCCTGTCTGTCTTTGCTCTGAGCCTGGATCCTGGTCCTGTCTCTCTGCTCTGAGCCTGGATCCTGGTCCTGTCTCTCTGCTCTGAGCCTGGATCCTGGTCCTGTCTGTCTTTGCTCTGAGCCTGGATCCTGGTCCTTTCATCCCAAAACTCAGCATCTTTGCACAACCATGACGCCTAAACACGAACTACTGTCTTTAAGGAGGTTCTGCATCATCTGCACTGCCGTTTCAGGCACAAAACATGCGTAAAACATGTAACATGTGTAAAACATGTGTAAAACATGTGTAAAACTCTAGCGCAGGAACAGCAGCTCTACTCAGAGCTCATGTAGGCCTCACAGGGGGTTCCCCTCTAGCACAGGAGCAGCAGCTCTACTCAGAGCTCATGTAGGTCTCACAGGGGGTTCCCTGTGAGGCCATGGGTCTGATATTTCTCTGTACAGACCGATGAAGCGAGGTTAATATGTTTCATTATATGACTCTTTTTAATATGTCCAAATATGGATGGGTTTGAACTAAAAACACATTTGACCAAAGTGTCAAACTGTGACATGAAGAACAGAGGATTGAGGCGCTGTAAGTTCTCAGTCTGTGTCTTTACCAATGCTTTTTACATATCTGTGATGTTCATGTCCCACTTGGTTTTCCTGCTCCTGGTTTTACCTTTCTGGTCTGTAACCAAGTTGTCGATCTCTTCTTGACTGTTGGAAGTTGTGTTTTCGTGGTTATTTGCTGTTGTTACTTCCTCTGGCTCTTCCAACTCGTCCTGATGATAGAATTCACTGAGAACGCTCCCAGTCGCTCATTATTTCTTTTTACTGAGGAAAGATATAAATGTGATACTCGAGTCACATAATAGTGTCTTTTATGGACTTTAATGTGAAGAACTCTGAATATTTGAACACTTATCTTTAGATATGTGAAAGACTGTCCTGTGTGGTGCTGTCAGTGAATCCTCGACCACAGCAAAGCCCCCCTCTCCTTTAATAACCCAGTTTGGGTCATTTACACTTCCCACAGAAACCCCCAGTCCCTGCTCGCTGTGAGG